CGAGTACGTTCAAAGGGGGTGTACAATCATGTATCTAGTGCCGATCGACGCCTTGGCACGTTCTCGCCCACAAGCTGGTCTCCTGCTCACGAAGACGTCGAAGCTCCAGCGATCTGAGCTATCTTCAAGTTGGATTGAGCGCAGTCTAGCTTTATGGGTACCGTCTATGGCCGTCATCATCTCAACCGCATGCTTGCATACAAACGTTAACCTTGTGGCAATGCCCGCAAAAGGCGCCTACAAGTGCATGCCAGACCTTTGGCATAGACTTAGTCTACTTTCATCTTCGAATACGCCCGTGGTGTCGAGCACGAGAAGCCCGAGTTCCTCGCGAACTGTCTACACTACTGACATCTCTTCATCATGAGGCCTGAGGGCTCTATAGCAGTGAGACCTGAATGCCTTGCATATAGTTAGTACCATCGACCCTTGAAGTCGATCCGCTTCCGCGAAGGGCCGGTGAACGCGAACCTGGTCAAGAACGTCCGCATGATACGTGTCCATCTACGAAGGAGCTTCAGAGTTGCTTCGAGAAAGAGGAATATGGAAATCGAAGAACCAAGTTGTATACCGTGGTTCACCAGGGCGATGCATGTCTGTACGCGCCTGCGGGAAGACGCACCGAGTCACCGTCGCCCCGCTCGTCTCCGTCGTAGCCATCCTATTGCTATTGTCCAGTACCGATCCTTGTTCTGGCTCCGCCGAAATTCGATCCTAGTCCGAAGCTGACTCCGCTTAGGCGACATCATCATCAGGCTTCGGTAATTGACATTCACCTTCAGATCGAGGCCAACGCTGCGCAGCACTACGACTCTATGGATGGAATGAGACCGAATGCAACCTCAGGACAAGCTACAGACTACCATCGTCTGCGAAGCAGCAGGGAATGCATTGTGCGCAGCGCAGCTATTGAATAGATCACAGTCAGGCCGGGCAGGTGTGCGGGCGGTGTCAAACGGCTTCGACATGGAGAACGCAGAGTGCGCATCAGAGACGGATACGCTACGGCAGATGACTGCATCAGGATTAGACTTCAGAATCGTCTACCGATTCTGAATCCCAAGGCTTTGGGGAGACATATGGACACACGTAAGCGCTTGAGTGGCCAAGCGAGCAAGGCTACACCTGAACCTTACCAGACGATGAATGTCAAGAGCCACGCCGTATAGCTGTCAAGGAGCTGCATTTGATATGAATGAATATCAGATCTACGTCAAGTCAAGGAAACTTCCAACGCCCGGCGCAACTCTCCTGTAACGCTCCCACTGGCTGCTTGGCGGAAACTGCGAAGATGGTGGGGCACTGCTCTCATCCTCGGTGTCCGTATCATCGATCTCGATAACATCGTGCACTTGAGTGGTAGTCACGGCGCTCGACGCGCGGCCAGTCTGCGTCGCTGTCACCTGAGAGGCCGCCGTACTTTGCGTAAGCTCAGCTTTGATTGCCTGGGAGGCTGGAGGCGTCTCTGTTCGCCGTTGCGTACGTGCGGGTTCTTGAGTCCTCGTACTCGGGCCAGCTGCTTGCGACTGGGGCTGCCCTAGTCTTTGCTTCTTAGGCGCCTGCGCCTGGGAGCTTGAAGGTTCTAATTTGGGCTGAATCTCCTCCACCGAGTCGTCTTGTACCACTGCCGGCGCCGGTGCGCGAGCCGGTTGGGATCCAAATATCTGGGTGATTGTCCGTACTGGCGGGCCCTGAGAATTTGGCTTGGGCTTCCGTGCAGTTGAGACCTTGAGGCGCTTCTTCGGCGGGCTTTTACGACCGTCTTCGTCCGCACGAGAGCCCTGCGAGGAGAAGAGCTCGGTGACCGTTCGCACTACCGGCCGCCCTTGACTTCCGGGCATCGTTTGCGAGGACGGTTGCGACCCGCCCTGTGAAGCAGGTTGCTGTTGCTGCGAGGCAGGCTTCTGCTGCTGCGACAGCGCTACCGCCTCCAGCTCATCCGCCCAAGCAAGCATCTCTTCGTCCGGATCGTCGAAGAAGTAGTCAGAGCCACTGGGAGCTGGCGGGGGATGAGCGTCCTCCATCTCTGTGTCGTGGCCTTCGGCAGCGTCGCCGTCCACAACGGTGCTTTCGCGCGTGTACTGAGAGTCAGGAATGGGCTTGTTTGATGCGAAGTGCGGAGAGTTGACGAGCGTTGCTTGGGTGTCTGGCAGACGTGATGGTCCAGCATTCGCAGAGGTTGTAGCGGGCGGCCGGATTGTTGTAGATGGGGGATTGGGCCTGGGGTTGGCTCTAGATGGTGCAGTGGGTGCTTGAGGAGCGGGTCGTATCGGTGGCTGAACAACGGGTGGAGGAGCTTGTACGGCGGCGGGCTCTGGGGCGGGAGCATGCCCACCATTAAGGCCATATAACTGTGTCTCAGCGCCTAGATCGGCCGGCTCCACGAAGGGCTCGTCGGGGCTGGCGCGCATATTGTTAATGTCAATATCTATGTGGCAATGAGCTACGCACTGTAAACGCATGTGCAAATCTTCCAAGAACACCCTTTCCCGGTTTTTGTCTAGCTCTTCTTCACGATGACCCTTCAATATGACGTTACTTGGTTCTAGGAATGCGATCCCTCGCCGTATCTTCACACCCTTCAAGAGAAGCTACACTAATCATCAGTATGGTTAGACCGCGTCTAGTACAGACGAATGTGTGACGTACTTTATAGCCGAGCGGCGTCACGCCAAGCTCTAGTTCGGGTATCTTGCGGTACTCGATGGCCTCTATCTCCGTTGAGCCGTCGCTGATGCGAAACTTGAGCATCGAACGCGGATACCGCGGTATGGGCCCGTCGTCTTCGCCACCGTCTTCCTCGGCCAGACCGGCGAGATCAGCGCGGTCGATTCGAGTCTGGCGAGTATTCTTCAGGGTAAATGCAGAATGCCCAACCTCCGTGATAGACGTAATCTGCACTAGCACCGGCGGCACACCAACGGTGCCCTTCTTCGCAGCACCGATATTGCGGGGGATACCAGTATAATGTAGCATAGAGTCGCCAAGACTGGAGGCCAGCAGTTGCGTGTCAATCTCTTGGAGTATTCGGTTGAGGTCGCGAGCAGGGTTGAGGCCATATGTTTCAATGACATACTCGTAGCACGGAGTAAGCCATTCCTATACAGACGTCAGCAGCTCGTACGTGCCAGTAGCCCATAAGATGCAAGTCTCACCGGGTCAATCCTTGGTTTGGGGTAGGTTTGCGCTAGCCACTGCGTCACTTGAGCTGGAACCTCCATGCGGTTCGTGGTCGTCGAGAGCAACCACGGCAGACGCGTCAAGCTCAAACAACTGTGACCGCACGCGTTTGTGACGGTCACGACGGCCGATGATCCGAATTCTTTCTCCCGAGCCTACGAGCGCTCGGCAGACCTTCCTCACCTCCGACCACCACGAGCTGGCTCGGTCTGTCGTCTCACCATGCTAATGCTATGATGATCACGCACAAACGTTTGAACCGCGTCATGTCTAGTCTCCAAAGCACTACCCGTGTGTCTCGTGCACCGCCAGCACGGTCTACACGGTTATTATCCACTGAGGCGCTCGCGGAAGAACGGCGCCCCGCGCAACTCGCGCGCCTACCTGTGCCGGACCTCCACAAAACGTTGCAGAACTATGTACAGTCGCTCGCTCCGTTTCTTCGCGAGCAGGAGGCTAGTGGTGGTCGCCCATTCGACGTCGCGTTGCATGACAGGCTCAAATGGGCTTCTGCTTTCGAAACGGGGGTCGGAGCGGATTGCCAGCGTCGTTTATTAGGTACATTCATTCTTCGTCTTGTGCCGAAACGTACTGATCAATCCGTTAGAGCTGGATTGCAATTCGCCGTATAACTGGCTGGACGACAACTTCTGGCTAAAGAAAGCATATCATGAATGGCGCGCTCCGCTGCTCATCAACTCCAATTGGTGGCTGGCCTTCTTCAATGACTCGTCCGTTCCCCAACACGTTCTAGAAGGTCAAGACGTCATGTTCTCTGGCGTTGGTCTCTGGCAGATCCGCAGAGCGGCATGGTTGATCTACCGAACGTTAGAATTCAAGGAGAAACTCGCGCAGTCAGTATCATTGTCTATGTATTACTTTGTTCGTGGTGCTGAATCTCACAGACAAGAAATATACCCAGATACCACAAAGACGGGCGTCTGGTTCAGGAACACCGTAGCCCGTATGTTCTACACGAACCGCATTCCACTGCCGAAATGCGATACGTTCTCCCGGTTACCCTCATCTTCCGCGCACGCGCGTAAAGTAGTCGTCATGATAGGCGACTTCTTCTACTATGTGAGAGTATACGATGCCGAGGGAGTGCCATCCAGTGCGGACGCGATAGAGCGCGGACTTGTCAGCGTTGTCCGAGACTACCATGCACGAGTAACCGCTGGCGAGACTGCACCCGCGGTCGGGGTGATGACCACCGATGATCGAGATTCGTGGGCTTCTGTATGTACGCCCCCTCTTTAACACACAAGTACTTGCTGAGCTGACGAAATGGTGCAGAATTACGCGCGCTTGCGAGGCCTATCCGACAACAACAAACGCACTCTTGACGTGATCGCTGACTCTGTCTTCGCCGTTTCGCTCGATCCACACACCCTAGGGAGGGAGACTATTGAAACGCCTGCGGAGATTAATCGTCATCTGCACAACATCAGGTCGTCGAAGAGCGCGCGCAACCGCTGGCTCGACAAGGCCTACACGATCATCGTCGAGAACAACTCGCGAGCCGGCGCTACGGGTGAACACTCGCCGGTCGACGCGCTAGTTCCCAGTATCGTCGCGGAGTACTCCATCGTCCAATCCATTGACCCGGATGCCTTCCCGCCCATTGAGGAAATCGCATCGCAAATGTCCAATCCGCCTGCTCTTGTCGACGGATGCGAGGGTTTGTCATTCGACGTGGACGCGGAACTACAGCGAGCGTGCGAGATTGCGCAGTCCCGCGCTGAAGCTCTCATCGCGGACTCCGATGATGCGGTGTTTTGGTTTACCGACTACGGTTCAGATTGGATCAAGGGCGTAGGTAAGCGACAGTATTGGATACGTCGTTTGCGGAGATACTGATCGTATCTCAGCGCGTCTTTCACCTGACGCTTACATTCAGATGGCGATGCAACTGGCGTGGTACAAACTCCGAGGAGAGTTCACTGCTGTATACGAGACCGTCTTGACGCGCCTCTTCGACCGTGGCCGGACAGAGACGATACGTTCATACACCACCGACAGCCGAGAGTGGGTATTGGCGATGTTAGACCCCAAGCGTTCGGTAAGCAGCTCGGTTGTCGGGCACCGAAGGGGTTATTCATCTCAGTCGCAGGAGAAAGAGCGTTACAATCTCCTCGGTCGTGCCATTCAGACGCACACGAAGCTCACTCGCGAAGCGGCTACGGGCAAGGGCATCGATCGGCACTTGCTCGGTTTGCGCATGATGCTTCGCGCCGGCGAGCGGGTAGAACTCTTCGAAGACCCACTGTTCGAGGAGAGCCAGACGTGGAAGTTGAGCACGAGCGGTCTCAGCGCCGGCCACCTTTTCCGCGGCACTGGGTACGTTTCCTTCGCCATCACACCACGTTGCGCACGCTCAGACGTATGTTTAGGTTTGGCTCGCCGTATCCTGACGGGTACGGGATCAATTACCTGTGCGCGCCCGACCAGATCAAGTTCGGCGTCGAATCAAAGATCTCATGCGCTTCGACCTCAACGGCGCGTTTCCATGCCGCTCTCGCCGATTCTCTCACAGAAATGCGAGCTGTATGTGCTTATGCGCCATCGACAACGTCAAAGTTGTAGCATTCGCTGCTACGCCCTCCCGTGCCACAATTTGTAGACTACGTTACGACGAACAACTAATCCCATCACGCCCTACTCGCCCATCTCGTTCTGAATGAAACCGATATTAGTGAAGTAATACAGATACTACAAGTGAAAGTATCGGACCAGTCAGTAGTTGCCGCCTTCAAGGTCGGCCATAGAGATCCACGCGGGGTCGCCGAAGTGCGCGGCCATCTTGCCTGCAAGGCTTTCCGCGCCGCGGCCGTCGATCAAAAACGCGCGGCTTGAGCAAATGTACATGCCGCGCTTGCAACGCGAGAGCATGACGTTCGTGCGGCGAAGGCTCTTCAGGAATCCGAGGTCGCGCGTACGCACGAGTGAGACGACGATAAAGTCCTCTTCGTTACCTGCGCGCGGTATGAGCGGGAGTCGCGCGTTCACCGAAAACACGTCACAAACCTTGGAACGAATCAACATTGAACACCGTGTCCTGCCATTTGAGTCCCTCTTCGTCGTTGCGAAGTGCCTCCTCGATAAAGTTGCGCTGCGCGTCGTATGGCGTGATCACGCGGACTTCTTGTCCTTCGGCCTGCAGACGGCGAACGAGGTGCGTGACGGCCTCAATTTCTTTTCGGTTCTGTGACATCGGTTAGCAACGACGCGCGACGAAGAGCGCGAACGAACACGTACCACCCAAGAGGTGCCGCTCTTTTGCTCGTTAGCTCCATCCACATCGACGAAGCGACACGCGAGTGTCGTGGACGTGACCGGATGTTCGGGGTTAGAGTCGAGTTTGCTGTTGTAGACTTCCTGTGAGATGAATGCCCCGATTTGCGGTGGCATACGATCTGCACAAAAATTAGCGGAAATTTTGAAAGAAATATGCGCAGCATACATTGAGTGTCCAGGAAGCAGATTGAGTCCCGAAGATGAGTCTTCTCAAAAATACTCTCCAACACCTCAATCTCCTCGGTGCCATGGGGTGGCACTGCCAAGCTGATAAGTATAAAAATGCGCAAAAAATACCGGAAAACTGACATTGTTTATCGTCACCAATGAAACAGACTTTGCGCAAAGCAGTGCCTTGGCTGAATATAGTGGTG